AGCATAGCCGGAGAATTGAATAATAAAGAATATGTGTTTAGTAAAAAAAAATAAGCGAAACAAGATTTAACATAACATTTTCATAGGTCAACAAACAAAAGACTTAAGACACATACACATTTATTATTGTGGAAAGAGAACAAATATTGTCTTCTAATCAGAAGGTTTTCATATTTTATATGAAATCCCATTTGGTCTTTCTGTAAATTATAAGTGGATTATACACTGCCATCAAAAGATAATCTCTTGGATATTTTGAAATTATCATAAACCCACTCACCTAGAAGAAGACCAGATAAATCATGGTCAAATGATTTTTTTCTGTACTCTGAAATAGACATGGTCATTATAATAGGGATATACCATAAAAATGTGTCTAAGACTATGATGGGCAAAATTTCTCTTAAACAATGTTTAAGGGAAAATAAAAACATGAATTATTCTTCGGAATTTATTAAATTTAATATTTTTAAACCATAAATAATATCCAAGGAAGTTCAAAAAATAAATTCATTAAAAAAATTTCGGAAAAATGTCAATAATGTTTATTTTTGTTTTAACAACAAAAAATTTAAATATAACCCATCAACGCTGGTGTGCAAGTCTGCCCAACTATGGTCTAAGAAATTTTTAACCACTGGACATCAGAAATACATAGTTTGGCAGGATAGGAAAATTTGCTATGCAATTATAATCCAATATGTCAAATTACAGCAAATTGAATTTTTGGTAGTGACCGAATGAGAAATCAAAATATAAAAACTTGGCAGATAACGTTCTATGGTTAAATCGGCATAGAATTTTATTCTCATCTAGAATATATGTACTTTATGGAGTCTCCGATGATTATTAGAAATTTAAATCCATCTTATGATTGAAGGCATAAATAATTCCAATTCAGTCTTCCATAATGTGTCTTCGGGAACCGTATCTGAAATATTATGAGGGACATTTTTATACCCTTAACCTTATGACTAATGAAGGTATATACACTTTGTTACAGCAAAAAAAAAATCCTCATCGAAACCCTATGTTTCTTTGGACCAATTCCGTTTCAGACAATTTAAAGCCGATTTACAAATGTCCGTCCGTTTCTCTGTCTGTGTGGCCGGCTCGTGCGCACGATAACTCTCGAAGGCAATATTTCTTCCAAATATAGTTTAAGTTTGAAGATGGGGAATATCGGATGGGGAATATCGGTCCATCTGGTACCTGCCCCACAAACTTTGTATAACTTATTATCTTTACCAAGCCTGGAACATGCCCGAAATTGGGAACAATTGGGCCACCACTTCTGGTACCTACCCCACAAATGGTCAAAATTGGCCGAAATGGAAACAATTGGGCCACTCCTTCTGGTACCTACCCCACAAATGTTCAATATTTATGAATTGAATATCAGTCGAAAGGAATATACGATTTGAGCCAAACTTTGTGACCAAGCCTAGATCAAGTCCGAAGATGGACGCATTGGTTCACTCCTTCTGGTGCTTCCCTCACAAATGGTCGAAATTTTCAATACTTATAAATCCAGTATCAGCGAATGGAATGAAACAAACTTTGCACTACTTAGTATCTTCATCAAGTCTAGAACATGTCCGAAAATGGGACCAATTGATCCACACCTGCACCACAAAGGGTCAATATTTTATAAATTTGTAAATTAAAATTAAAAACAAAAATTAAAATTATATGTCGGCAACACCGACTGACACTTTTTTACTTGTTGTAGAATATTTGTATATAAAAAAACCTTGTTTTGTCTTAAGAAAATATGGACGAAAAATACACATAAGAAATCGATTTAGAAGGGCCAAAGATTCTACAAAAGTATTTCTCATACAGTTTATCTAAACATTACGACTTTTAAACAATTAGCGTAAACAAAGACATAAAGCGTTTTCTCCAGCAAATTTTAGTCAAATTTCACAAATCTAATTCTAACCTTTTATATTAGGTAGTACTGTCCGAATATATCAAATGGAAACGAATTTTGGTATAACACATCATCTCGATCGCTCAATAAAAACTGTAGAATAGTAAACATATTAAGATGTTTTTTTTTTAGTTGAAAAAGTCGAAAAGTCATTTGTAGACCCATAATGTCTTTAGATTTGATCATGGTAATTTACATTCGCTTTGGAAATGTCAAAGCTAATGAAAGTAACATTTTTAATCCAAACTATCCATATCGTAAAATTTCTTCGAAACGGAAATCATGTCAGACGTTTTTGGAGTATCCGTCCCCTTCCCCAGAAATGGTAAAAATTTAACCGAAAAAAATATATGTAAAATATGATGCAATCCTTCTGACCAAAATTTTCCACAACCAAATTCTTTAACGTAAGGGAACTACCACATTCTCAATATTAAATATGGATGATTTTCAACCGGATTTTCATTATGTTACTTAAAGAAGAAGAAGAGAAAAAAAGGCAACATCATGTTTTTTTTGTAATTAAAAAATTGTCCGAATCTCAAATTTCCAACGGAATTACAAAGAAAAAGAACATCTGAATCTCAAATTCTATCGTAATATCAACATCGCTCAATAATTAGCAAAATGGAGAACCTATGGAATATACATATGGGCAATATTGCCAATTTTTTAACATAGCTGAAGCGGAGGTTCTCCCCTTTATAACTCGGGAATTACTTAAGTATATGAAAAAAGTGAATAGTTTTGGGTTAATTGATCTGTCGTTGCAAACTGCTCATGATATTGACCTCCAAACTTTATTTTGGTGGAAGCTGTGTCTACATTAATGTAAAAAAAATGTGTAAAAACAGGTTGAAGCGAACCAGTTTTTCTATGTTCTCCATCGATTTGTGATTAAGCCACTCATTTTACGGTCTTCGTGTCAAAGTAAAACTAGAAGCCAACAAAATGCGGACTACTCCCCTTATGTATCATTTTTCAAAATTTTAACTGCATCTACCTTTAAATGATGCTGACATTTCGAAGCTCGATTTTGAGTGTTTTTTTAATTTTACTTCTAGTTTTAATACGCAAACAGGAATTTCTAAAAATCGATTATAACATTATTGTAGTCGAGAATCTGCGTAATTTGATATGTATTTTGTGTATGTAGTATGCACAGCTTCAGAGTAATACTCATCCGAAGGTGCGAATTTTGTGCGATCAAATTTCTAAAAAACCTATTTTTCGGGCCAAATTTTTAGATCTGTCAACTGAATGATATGTGTGCCCGCGATCAATAAAGTTTTTTACGTTTCGGATGATATAAAATCTTCTTCGTGAAAATCCATCTACTAGAACGGCGGGAACTGGCCATCCAAAAAAATTTGGCAAAAAATGTTTTTGAAAATATCGCGGATTTATTTGCGTTTTCTGTGGATCATTTCCGCTTCAATAAATGACCTCATACGGATTTTGATCTTTTTCGAAAAGAGAATTTTAAAAACTTCAGCCGAAAGAGAGATGCACCTAATTTATCTCATGGTTCTTAATGGACCACATTGAAATCAGTATAGATCGATGTATTTTTTAGGGTGCACACCGAAATCGGATGCGCGTTAATGGCATATAGAGTTTTCGGAAATTATTCGCGTTTTACGATTTTTTGGGTACTTCAATGCAACGTGTGGCACATCTTAGCCGTCAAATGAAATTTCGCAAAATATATATGGATTGGAAGATAAACTTCAGTACTTCCTGGAAACCGCATGCGCATCAAATGATTTTGAGAATTACGCGATTTAGACGCAATTTAAAATGTATATTTCATAATATTATTTTATTTTAAGATTTATTCCTATTTATAGAACCCCAAGATTTATCGGAAGGGTCTTGATATAATCCGCAAGGTGTATACTTATACACATGAAGTTATTATTTTTATATATGTCAATTTTTCGGCGAAATTCGGGTAAAATAGCAGAATAACCCCAACATTTTTTCTGAAATTTCTTGTATAAAATTAATAAAATATGATGACATTATTTTTTCGAACCAAAAACAAATATTTTTCCTCAATATCTTGGTTTGTTTTCGCTGTGATTTACATGGTCTACAACCAACGCTACCCTCAATATTTTGAAGATGTTAGTATTTAAATACCATAACAATTTTCTGTGAATATACAATTATTTGATGACTTTGTGAGACTATAGCCATGTGCAAAATTCATCAAATCCAAACAGAATCCTATCATATATTGTTCGCTCCAAATTAATAGCATATTCTAAACATAGTTCCCAAAATCATGAAAAACTGCAAAAATTTATATTTTTTTTACAGATGTGACATTTTAAGTATTATGTTGTTTTTTTTTTTTGGATTTTATCTCAAAGCTAAATTTGCTAAATGTAAAACATTTCGGAGCAGTGAATAGCAGTACGTAAATATAAGCAGTAGGAATTAATAGAAAATTAAAAAACCCTAGCAAATTATTCAGAATCGAGATAGGATTTTTTTTTTCTACAATCATAAGCTACACTGTATTATATATTCACTTTATGGGGTCTCTGGTGAAATTTTGTGGTGTTGCAAATGGAGCGACAAATTTAATACACAATGTTGTGGAGGTTGTAAAAATTACAATTGCTATTTGTATGATTTTTAAGTTGCACGGGATGAAAAAAAAACTCTTAAGCCACTCCTACACTTTAAAGAAATTTATGAGGATCTAATTAGAAACACAAACTCTGTTGGTTTCTCAGAGGTACCCAAACAAACATGCATTTACATTTCCATAACAGGGTAAAAAAAGAAAATAATACAAATATCTCCAATTTATATTGTAAATAGATAACCAAAGACTTAGGACACGAACTTGAAATAATAACTTCGGAGGTGTTTGACATTTTCCACAGTTTATTTATACCATAAAACTATACGATCATATATGACCAATTTCACACATTCATGTTTTTTAGAAATATTTACACATTCAAGAGAGAGTTGTCTTCCAAAAAAATTAAGAATGCCAATATAAAAAAAACTGTAAAAGAATTTCACACATTTAATAGCCACCTACCAAAAGTAAACGTTTATCCATTTTTCTGCGTGTGTGTGTTTTTTTGTAAAGTAACTACTTTTAGTTACACAATTTTACATACAAATTTTTGTGACGAATTGTTTAATTAGTCGTTTGACAATAGATTTTTTTGTTTTCGGTTTTCTTGTAATTATTTGTTCTTTTAGTAATATTCTTTTTTTTTGGTTTTTTTTTACAGACACACAATTTTCTCCATGTATGTATTTTATTTTCCTTCTTTTTTTATTTTATGTTACTGTTAATTTCCGTTTAGTAATTTATTTTTCTGAAGCACAGTACAAACTGTGTGATCACGAATTCTGTTCAAGACGCCAGGTCGGTATTACCATACTGGTGTGTTGTTGCAAAAGAACTGATGGCTGTGAAGCCATTGCTCTTACCAAGACACCTTTTTTCATTGGCATGCAACAGCATTTCCCCACACGCACAAATTAAACGTTGCGGTTTAGTTGGACAAGAAAAGCAACAACAACAACAGCAATAACAACATATAAACACATAAAGAAGAAGAAGAAAAATAGAAATGAACCACTCCATTCGAGAGTCTTTCTTTGGTTGTGGTCATTCATTCATTTCTCCATTACCTATTCCAATGACAGAAGCAGCTGTTGTTGTTGTTTTTTGTGGAACTTGATGGACATGCAAAGAAAGAAAAAAAAAAACAAATGAATAAATTTCTTTGAGTTTCTTAACCTTGCTCACTCTCTCCGACTTTTGAGCTCTCTTAATGATTTAGTTGAGTGACTTCATTTAGAGAGCTTTTCTTTTCATACGCTCCCACTCTCTCTCTCTCTTGCTTCTCCCATAACACTGCACTGTTTCTGTTATTTAAATTCTTTTAATTAACTTTCTTCTTTTGTGCGTTTGAGTCGCGGCTGCGTCATTTAGATTATAATGAGAAAATATCTACCACCATTTAATGTCCATATAATTATCATTCGTAGCAGTGTTGTTGTTGTTGTTGCTGTTGACATCCATTAAAATTCTTTCTTTCATTCTCTGAGAAAGACATTTCATGTTGTGATTTCTGACAGAAAAAAAACAAAAGACTTAAGACACAAACTGTAACAGAAACAAAAAACAATAAAAAAGTTTATAGGCAATTTGACGTCTAATGATGGGGGCGAGAAATAGTTTTGCATTTTTATTAAGGACAGTGGAGTGTTTTATCAACTGTATCAAAATATTAAATAAACAAAAATTATAATAATAAAAGGAATCTATGGAAGAATTTAATATCATTTAAAGTGTAATAACACAAGATTAATAGAGGATAGTCTTTGTAGACGAGCTAAAGAGAGTATTTCATAGAATTGCTGAGGATGTTTTTTTATATGCGAATTGTCTTTACAGCAGAGCTAAAGCAGTCAGTCTTTATTGTTGAACTAACTCAGGGAGTAATTATAGACGATCTGAATGGAGAAAGACACAGTGTTTTGTTTATAGACCACATGAGCGTATTCTTTATGTAATCCCTGGATTTCTTATAGAAACTGAAGGGCCATGGATACTTTATAGATGAACTAATTAAAACGTTTATAGATGAGTTCTTACAGGTCGGAAGTATTTCATAGAATAGATGGAGAAGATATGACTTATGACAATGTGAAGGAAGTCTATGTAGCAAAGCTATAGTAGGGAGTTTTTATCGAAGAACTGATTCAGGGAGTATTCCGAATGGAGAAAGACGGTTCTAAGATAGTGGTAATAAAATAGATGAGCGAATTCTTTATAGACCAGCTGATGTGAACATTTATGGACTACCGAAAGAGATTTCCTATTGACCTCTTGAAGAGTCATGAAGCCATTATAGATGAGTAGATGAGTTGAAAGATCAGATGATCATATTCATAGCTCATTAGAATATTTGTAGGTAGAAATTATAGATAATCTGATGAATATACGCTGATTGATGAATTTGTTGTAAATTTTAAAACAGTTTATATAAACGAGCCAGAGTCGGTAGCCTTTCATAGACAAATTGAAGTAGAAAGTCTTACATATACAAGGTGAAGAGAGCCTTTTTATAGATGTGCTAGAATCGATCGCTTTTTATAGACGAGACATAGAGCCTTTCACAGGTGAGCTATACGGGTGTTTCATAGACGAGTAGGGAAAATTTATACCCTTCACCACACTGTGGTACAGGGTATTAGCTATGTTTGTAACAGGCAAAAGGAAACGAGATAGACCTATAGTCCCTTTTGAGAATACGCATAGAATTACATTCTGAGTCGTTTTATGCATGTCCGTCTGTCCGTCTGTTGGTGTTAAATTGTAAACAAAGTACAGGTCGCATTTATAATCCGATTTGGATGAAATTTGGCACAGCTCATTTGTTTGGCCCAAGAACGAACCCTATTGAGAAAAATCGGTTCAGATTTAGATATAGCTCCCACATATAGTTTCGTCCGATTTCATGCAAATGGCGCACCAAAGTCCCTATATATTTTTTGATTTGCACGAAATTTGTCATAACGTACTGAATTGAACCTAGAGTTATGTCTGCCAAGTTTCGACAAAATCGGTCCAGATTTAGATATAGCTCCCATATATAGTTTCGTCCGATTTCATGTAAATGGTGCACCAAAGTCCCTATATTTCTTTTGATTTGCACGAAATTTGGCATAACGTACTGAATTGAGCCTGGAATGATGTCTGTCAAGTTTCGTGAATATCGGTCCAGATTTAGATATAGCTCCCGCACCAAGCAACCAATAGGCTGATAGGAACGAAACGTACTGAAATTAGTATAACCTAACCTGTGACAAGTTTCCTTGAAATCGCTTCATATTTGGATATAGCTTCCATGTATATTTTCGCCGGATTTTATGTAAATGGCGCATCAAACTCCTCATGTTTGTCAGATTGATATGAAATTTTGCACAACGTACAAAATTGAGCATAGAATAACGTAGTTACGTTTTCTAGAAGTACAGACATAGGCCATCGGATATTCTATTTATATTTGTTTGAAGTCGATTTACATGCTTTTGTCCCATTGTAACAAACGAATAACATGTTTATAGATAGATATTGGTAGATTCATATTTAGATAAATATCGAATATTTTATTTCATCCAATTTCATGTTAATAGTCCTGTTTAATGCTTTAGTGCTCGTCACCAGGTGTTTCTTGGTCGACCTCGATATTACGATCCTTGGTGATGCCATTCACGTGCGATTTTGCTTCTGCTATGGACATTTTTTCCTGAGGTGTGACCAATCCATCTCGATTTAACCTGCATTTATATGGTTCCTGGTTTGTTAGGTTATACAACTCTAGGTTACTTATAGTCTTGAGGGAGAATAGTCTGCATACGATCCTGAGACAGTTGTTTATGACTACGCATAGCTTTTAGCATGATGATGATATTCAGGCTTGACTATCGAAATATTCACCGGAGACCACAAAAAATTCTTGACTATTATTATTTTGGGTGTTTTGGGCATGTTTTTCAAACGAATTCGCTTAAATTTGATTGTTAAAATTCTTATGGGTTGTCAAATCTTCATACCATAAATTGTCAATGTCAGGTAACGGCTTGGAATAGCTCCCATTGAAAGGTAGCATCCCATGTTTTTTCGGTATTAATATTTTTTTTATAGAATTTTCTCCTGGTGAATAAATAAATTAAATAAAAAAGTATCGTTATAATTTCGGCATGTTGAAGTTTCCAACTTGGGTGTCTGTAATTTGGAACACTCTTTGAATATGAACAACCTACTATCTTACTATCGGCCGAACATAAGGACGTTCTTTTTAATTTCAAACTGAAACAAAGACCTGAATAAACATTTACCATGATATATCAAACCATGAATCTATAGAGAAAAATTTCTGGGGGATTATTTAAACCTCTGAGAAACCGAAAGACCAAAAATTAATTTTTATTAATTTCATTGGAAAAGCGGCGATCTGTTACAATTGGGCTTTGAATATTTTCGGCGGGTGATTTTTTTATCCTCTGAGAAACTGAAATGAAAAATAGCCGCCACTATGGTTGGCAAATACGGTGAGGCCTTTATATGAAGTCTATCTCAAAATATGGACCTATATTGAAATTGAGCTGCATTAAAGGTTGTTTTTTGCAACTACCTTAGAAAAGGTAGAACGGGGTAAATATATATATCTATATATATAAAAGAGCTTAGTGTTAAGTGAGTGAGTGGCAAATCATCGCCCAGACGAAACGGCTAAAGCTAGAAGCTTGAAATTTTGAATGTGGGTTGTTGTTGGTGTGTAGGCGTGAGGTAAGGCTGGGTTTTTGGAAATTCGAACTAGAAGGGTACGAAAATTACTAAAATGTACCAAATATGGTACCCTTTGTATTAGGCGAACGGGAAGAGCTAGAATTATGAAATTTGGAATGTGGGTCACTGATGGAAAGTTAGAAAGATGTAGAAAAGGGTTTTTGAAAATTCTAAACATTACTAAATTTATTTTTTTATTAATTTCTCTTTTGAGATGAGCTACATGATCTGAGTTGCAATGAAAAGAAAAGCCAGAGAGATACTACATTCCCACCACTATGCGACGCGTTTCGCCGTTGGTTAAGCGGCTCATCAGGCATATTGGGCAATGTGGCTTACGGCGAAACGCATCACATAGTGGTGGGAATGTAGTATCTCTCTGGCTTTTCTTTTCATTGCAACTCCGATCATGTAGCTCATCTCGAAAGAGAAATTAATAAAAAAAACATTTACATGAGTGATCTTCGCTCTAAAAAGGCATAAAAACAAAACTCATTACTAAATTTAGTTCTAAATGTTTATGTATTGAACATATATAGGTAGAATCTTGAAATATTATATGGAATAAAGGTTGGGAAGTGGTTTTGATGTATGGAAATGGTTTATGAAATTAGTACCTATTTATATAAAATGTAAAAAATGGTACTAAATTTAGTACTATTTGCGTTTAAATGAGTGTATAGAGATGGAAGCCTGAATATCGGTATTAGGACTACTATTGTGGTACAGGATTGAGGTAGCTTTAAAAAGTCGTACTTACGTGTACGAAAAGTACTAAATGGTACTAAATTTGGTGCAAGTTGGAATAGGTGAATATATAGAGCTGGAGTTTTCAAATTGGAAATTAAATTGACTTTGGAGTGTTGTATTGATGTAGTTTAGGAAATTCGTACTTATTGGTACGAAAAGTACTATGGTACCAAATTTAGTACAATTTGGATTTTGCTTGAAAGGATAGAGCTGAAAACCTGAAATTCGGAATTAAGATTACTGTTGAAAATTGAGCTATAGAGACGTCTTTGGAAATTCGTATTTATGTGTATAAAAAGTACTAAATGGCAATAGATTTCGTACAATTTGGATTTGGGTGAACGGAGAGATCTGGAAACCTAAAATTTGGAATAATGGTTGCTGTTGGAATATAGAATTGAGATATGGAAGCATAGTACTTATGTGTACTAAATGGTACTATATTTGGTACAACTTGATTATGTGTGAACGCATAGAACTGGACTCTAGAATATTGGAATTAAAATTAATGTTGAAGTGTAGGATTGACGTAGTTTAGGTAATTCTTAATTATAGGAACAAAAAGTATTAAATTGTACCAAATTGTTTTTGCTGAACGGATAGGGATGAGATCCTGAAATTTTTAATTAATATTGCAGTTGGAGTGCAGGATTGAGATAAATGAAATGAGAAACGATTTCATGAAAACTTAGCACTAGTAATTCGGGACTTTATTTGGTATGCAATGCTATATTTCCCGTCGATCGGACAAACTTTGGGAGTATGGTCACCATTTGCAGGAATTCGGACCATAGTATATATCTAAATCTGAACCTATTTCAGTGGGCTTGGTGATTGGACCAAATAAGTGAGCTGTACCAAATTTCATCTCATTGCGACCATACGTGTGCATAAATCGGTTTAAGTCCATTTTTTTCTTATATTGAGATATTTAAAGGTTTGGGTTTGATTTGTTTCAAAAAATTGTTCAACGCTATTTGTTTTGTTTGTGCCCTTAAACATGATAGAATATATACATTTTTTTCTAAAATATTTCCAAATGGCATCCTAAGTGTGTTTAAATGAAGGTGCTGTTTTATTATTTTCTTAGTGGCGCCCAACGTGTGGTTACAACATTAAAAAAAATGTAGAAAAAAATCCAATCTTGATAATCTACAAGTCTTTATAAAAATATTCTCACAAAATCGACCATTCTGAAAAAATCCGCACATGTATTTATGAATATTTCAAGACTAGCTTTGCTCAAGGCATTTTGTCCCGAAAACGGTCATTAGGTTTAGCAAAATAATATTTGATTCGTATTTTTAGGAGGATTTTTATGCCAATTCGATTTTTAATGCACTCTTAGTTTTTGTAGTTGTTTTATTGGCGCCCAACATGCAGCTACAATATTGAAAACATGCAAAATAATATTTTCCTAACAAAATACAAGGTTGATGATCTATAAGTCTCTATAACAATATTCTCAGAATAATCTTCGTACTATATTCCTTGTAAAATAATCCAAAAAAACCTGCACATGTAGCGTCTAGATATTTATGAATGTGTCAAGACGACCTTTGGACCAACATGAGTTAAAATTAAGATTTATTTTATTATTTCCATAGTGGCGCCCAACGTGTGGTTACAACATTCAAAATATGAAAAATAATAGATTTTTCTTAAAAAAATACAAGCTTGATGATATAAAAAATCTTTGTAAAAATATTATTAAAAACAACTGTATATTCCTTGTAAAAATATTCATAAAAAATACGGGCATGTATGGTCTAGATATTTATGAGAGTTTTAAGACGCGCTTTGACACATTTGACCGATAGCGCCCAACGTGACTTAAAAATTAAGTTGCTGTTTTGTGTTTTTTTTTGTTAATGGCGCCCAACGTGCCGTTACCATATTTGACATATTTTGGAAAAATCCAAGTTTGATGATCTAAAAGTTCCTTGTAAAAATATTAATAAAAAATACGCACATGTGCGGTCTACATATTTATGAATGTTTCAAGATATTTGCTCAAGGCATTTAATTAAAAGCGCCCAACACAAATTAAAAATCATATTGCTGTTTTATTATTTTCCTAATGGCACCCAACATGTGGTTACAACATTGACAGCAATAGTTTTTAAGTCAAAATGCATGCTCAACTTAAATACATACTTCAGTGTTCCTATTTCAAACCAAAAATATTTTCGAAAATTCATATTAAAAACCAATACACGAATTTATAGGCACATGGTGGCCACTCATCCTTTTCCACTCTTATCGCAATAATTGCAAATAATTACAAAATTTAAAAAAATACAAGTATATGCCAACTCATCAGCAAATTACCCGTACCATTTAAAAATGTGGTCGCTAAATTACATTACATGACAATTGTTATCAAGGACAAAGGACATTGAAAATTTCTTTAAATGGCCAATGCACAGCTCTGACCACAAACAGTATACCTTCATCGTCATTTGAAATCCGAACAAAGTTTCGCAATAATTAATTCGGTTTGAAGCGTTGATTTTTTTTTTTGTAAAAGAAAAAATGTTCGAAGATATTCCATTGATTTATATGAATGTGAAAATTTTGAAATTTTGGTCACTGCTTTATGATCATAATTGGCGTCGTTATGTCACCATAATACCACCCACGTTTTTAGTCTTTACCCAATTCTATTATATGTTCATGACGGAAGAGGGTATCGATGCCATTATCAGAAATTCATATATGTTGGTACTGTGGTTCAATACCATCTTGAGGGCATATATTTTAATCAAGGATCGTGTGGAATATCAAAGTTTGCTGCAGGACTTGGAGACGTTCTTTTATGAGTTGGATGTGAGTAAGAACAACCGATGACAAAATATTTTTTTAACAAAACCACGCCTTGTGGGTCGTTGGAAAAATTATTCTTTAAAAAATCCACGCCTTGTGGGTCGTTGGAAAAAATATTCTTTAAAAAATCCACGCCTTTTTGGTCGTTGGAAAAATTATTCTTTAAAAAATCCACGCCTTTTTGGTCGTTGGAAAAATTATTCTTTAAAAAATTCACGCCTTATGGGTCGTTGGAACAATTATTCTTTAAAAAATCCACGCCTTATGGGTCGTTGGAAAAATTATTCTTTAAAAAATCCACTCCTTTCTGGTGGTTGGAAAAATTATTCTTTAAAAAATCCAAGCCTAATGGGTCGTTGAAAAAACATTTTTTAAAAAATCCAAGCCTAATGGGTCGTTGAAAAAACATTCTTTAAAAAATCCAAGCCTAATGGGTCGTTGAAAAAATATTTTTTAAAAAATCCACGCCTTATGGGTCGTTGAAAAAATATTTTTTAAAAAATCCACGCCTTATGGGTCGTTGAAAAAATATTTTTTAAAAAATCCGCGCCTTATGGGTCGTTGAAAAAATATTTTTTTTAAAAAATCCACGCCTTATGGGTCGATGAAAAAATATTCTTTAAAAAATCCACGCCTTATGGGTCGATGAAAAAATATTCTTTAAAAAATCCACGTCTTATGTGTCGATGAAAAAATATTCTTTATAAAATCCACGCCTTATGGGTCGTTGAAAAAATATTTTTTAAAAATTCCACGCCTTATGGGTCGTTGAAAAAATATTTTTTTAAAAAATCCTCGCCTTATGGGTCGTTGAAAAAATACTCTTTAAAAATCCATGCCTTATGGGTCTTTGAAAAAATTATTTTTTTAAAAAATCCACGCCTTTTTGGTCGTTGGAAAAATATTCTTTAAACAATCCACGCCTTATGGGTCGATGAAAAATATTTTTCAAAAAAATCCACGCCTTATGGGTCGTTGAAAAAATATTCTTTAAAAAATCCAGGCATATGGGTCCACGCCTTATGGGTCGATGAAAAAATATTTTTTTAAAAAATCCACGCCTTATGGGTCGATGAAAAAGTATTATTTAAAAAATCCTCGCAGGAAAAAATTCTTTAAAAAATCTAAGGTTTCCGTGATTGATTTTTATACCCTTCACCACATTGCGGTACAGGGTATTATGACTTTGTGCATATGTTTGTAACAGGCAAAAGGAAACGAGATAGACACATGGATCCTTTGGAGAATATGCATAGAATCACTTTCTGAGCCGATTTATGCATGTCCGTCAGTCTGTTCCGTCCGTAGATGTTAAATTGTAAACAAAGTACAGGTCGCATTTATGATCCGATTTGAATGAAATTTGGCATAGGTCACTTATTTGGCCCAAGGACGAACTCTATTGAAATTGAACGAAAATCGGTTCAGATTTAGATATAGCTCCCAAATATATTTTCGTCCGATTTAAGGTATATATTAAGGCTATATATTTTTCGATTTGCACGAAAATTGGCATAGAGTACTGAATTAAGTCCCGGTAGAACAAAATGAAAAAATTCGCTGTTGCAAACATAAATTAATTGCGGGCCCCCGGGCAGCCCCCCTTCGTACGTCCCTGGCTCCCATATATAGTTTCGTCCGATTTAAGGTACTAAATTAGAAGTACTAAATAAAGTACTAAATTAAGCCTAGAATTATGTGTGTCAAATCTCGTTGAAATCGCTTCCGATTTAGATATAGCTCCCATATATAATTCCGTCCGATCTAAGGTAAATGGGGCCCCAAAGTCCCTATATATCTTTCGATTTGCACAAAATCTGGCATAGAGTACTGAATTAAGCCTAGAATAATGGGTGTTAAATTTCGTGGAAGTCGCTTCCGATTTAGATATAGCTCCCATATATAGTTTCGTCCGATTTAAGGTAAATGGTGCACCAAAGTTCCTATATATTTTTCGATTTGCACGAAATTTGGCATAGAGTACTAAATTAAGCCTAGAATGATGTGTGTCAAATTTCGTGGAAATCGCTTCCGATTTAGATATAGCCCCCATATATATTTCCGTCCGATCTAAGGTAAATGGGGCTCCAAAGTCCCTATATATCTTTTGATTTGGACAAAATCTGGCATAGAGTACTGAATTAAGCCTAGAATGATGTGTGTCAAATTTTCGTGAAAATTGGTTAAGTTTTAGATATAGCTCAAATATATATTTTCGATATAATTAGCTTTAAATCTATTTACAAATTATGGCATAGGTTGCAGAATGGCATGTGTTGGTACTGATGTTAGTCGGTTTAGATATAGATAAATATCGCATATTTAAGTTCGTTCAATTTCATGTCAATGTTCCTTTGAAAAGGCGACGTCTGCTAGGATACATATGTAGTCGGCCCAGTCCGACTTTACTACTTTCCTTACTGGTTTTAAATTAAAAAAATAATTTTTTGTTGGTTTTTTTTCAGAAATCCAATGATGCCATTGTCCGCGACCTATTAACCAGTGTCAATTCCAATGGCCGAGTTATGGCACGTGGTAATCTCTTTTTGGGTCTGCTAACCTGCATTGGTTTTGGTTTGTATCCCCTGCTGGCAGCTGAAAGAGTCCTACCGTTTGGTAGCATCATTCCCGGCGTCAATGAATATCAATCGCCTTTCTATGAATGTTGGTATATTTTTCAAATGTTGATCACCCCAATTGGCTGTTGCATGTATATACCCTATACAAGTTTGATTGTATCCCTTATTATGTTCGGTATTGTGATGTGTAAATATTTGCAACGTCGTCTGGCGACATTGAGTCGTTTCAAAGGAAATCCGGAATGGATTCATGTTGAAGTTGTTGAGTGCATTAAATATCAGAAGAAGATCATTGAGTGAGTATGCGGAAGAAAATAAAATGTATTTTTTAAAGGTTCTAAAATAGACTGAAGCCCATCAGTAATTGACGAAAATTGAACGAGCCTTCTCTTACTTATTTTTTTTATTTTACTCAACAGTAATAGGTTTTAAATATATTTTTTTTTAATTTGAAAATAAATTTCAATTGCATTTTTAGATATTGTGATACTGTGAACCGTCTAACAACTTTCATGTTTCTCTTGGAATTTGTGGCCTTTGGTACCCTGCTCTGTGCTTTGCTATTTCTCTTGATATTTGTAAGTTGAGCTAATCATAAAATTGCAGATTTTATTTCATAGTATCTTATTTAGGTGGACTCGGCTGCCCAGGCAATTATTGTCTGTGCCTATATAACAATGATATTTTGTCAGATATTGGCATTATATTGGTATGCGAATGAATTGAAAGAACAGGTAAATGGGAAATGTGACCAGACTGTTTGATAGATCAATCGGTCGATATAAAATGGGGACATTTTTTCTATATATGACCTGATTTTAATTTTAATCAAACTTATGGGTATGTGCAAATCGTCTTTATACCCTCCGCCACACAGGGTATTATGCCTTTGTGCATATGTTTGTAAGAGGCAAAAATAATCGAGATAGACCCATGGTTCCTTTTGAGAATATGCATAGAATCACTTTCTGAGGCGATTTATGCGTGTCCGTCTGTCCGTGAGTCCGTCCATGTATTTTTGGTGAACAAAGTACAGGTCGCATTTATGATCCGATTTGGATGAAATTTTGTACAGGTCAATTATTTGGCCCAAGGACGAACCCGAAATTGGCAAAAATCGGTTCAGATTTAGATATAGCTCCCATATATATTTTCGTTCGATTTAATGTAAATGGTGCACCAAAATCCCTATATATCTCTCGATTTGCACGAAATTTGGCACAGCGTAATGAATTAGTCCTAGAATGATGTGTGTTAGGTTTCCTGAAAATCGGTGCACCAAAGTCCCTATATATCTTTCGATTTGTACGAAATTGGGCACAGCGTAATGAATAGGGCCTAGAATGATGTGTGTTAAGTTTCCTGAAAATCGGTTCAGATTTAGATATAGCTCCCGTATATATTTTCGTCCGATTTAATGTAAATGGTGCACCAAAGTCCCTATATATCTTTCGATTTGTACGAAATTTGGCAAAGCGTAATGAATTACGTCTAGAATGATGTGTGTTAAGTTTCCGCAAAATTGGTTCAGATTTAGATATAGCTCCCATATACATTTTCGTCCGATTTAATGTTAATGGTGCACCAAAGTCCCTATATATCTTTCGATTTGTACGAAATTTGGCACAGCGTAATTAATTAGGCCTAGAATGGTGTGTATTAAGTTTCCTGAAAATCGGTTCAGATTTAGATATAGCTCCCATATATATTTTCGTCCGATTTAATGTAAACGGTGCACCAAAGTCCCTTAAAATCTGTCTATTAGCTCGAAATTTGGCACAGCGTAATGAATTAGTCCTAGAATGATGTGTGTTAAGTTTCCTGAAAATTGGTTCAGATTTAGATATAGCTCCCATATATATTTTCGTCCGATTTAATGTAAATGGTGCACCAAAGTCCCTATATATCTTTCGATTTGCACGAAATTTGGCACAGCGTAATAAATTAGGTATAGAGTGATGTGTGTTAAGTTTCCTGAAAATTGGTTTAGATTTAGATATAGCTCCCATATATATTTTCGTCCGATTTAATGTAAACGGTGCACCAAAGTCCCTATATATCTTTCGATTTGTACGAAATTTGGCAAAGCGTAATTAATTAGGTCCAGAATGATGTGTGTTAAGTTTCCTGAAAATCGGTTCAGATTTAAATATAGCTCCCTATATATTTTCGTCCGATTTAATGTAAATGGTGCACCAAAGTCCCTTAAAATCTGTCTATTAGCTCGAAATTTGGCACAGCGTAAAGAATTAGGCCTAGAATGATGTGTGTTAAGTTTCCTGAAAATTGGTTCAGATTTAGTTATAGCTCCCATATATATTTTCGTCCGATTCAATGTAAATGGCGCACCAAAGTCCCTTAAAATCTGTCTATTAGCTCGAAATTTGGCACAGCGTAATAAATTAGGTATAGAATGATGTGTGTTAGGTTTCCTGAAAATCAGTTCAGATTTAGATATAGCTCCCGTATTAGATATAACTCCCATATACATTTTCGTCCGATTTATTGTAAATGGTACACCAAAGTCCCTTAACATCTTTCTATTAGCTCGAAATTGGGCACAGCGTAATGAATTAGTCCTAGAATGATGTGTGTTGAGTTTCCTGAAAATCGGTTCAGATTTAGATATAACTCCCATATATATTTTCGCCCGATTTAAGGTAAACGGTGCACCAAAGTCCCTATATATCTTTCGATTTGTACGAAATTTTGCACAGCGTAATGAAATATGCCTTGAATGATGTGTTAAGTTTCCAGAAAATCGGTTCAGATTTAGATATAGCTCCCATATATATTTTCGTCCGATTTAATGTAAATGGTGTATCAAAGTCCCTATATATCTCTCGATTTGCACGAAATATGGCACAGCGTAATAAATTAGGTATAGAATGATGTGTGTTAAGTTTCCTGAAAATCGGTTCAGATTTAGATATAGCTCCCATATATAATTTCGTCCGATTTAATGTAAATGGTGCACCAAAGTCCCTATATATCTTTCGATTTGTACGAAATTTGGCACAGCGTAATCAATTAGGCATAGAATGATGTGTGTTAAGTTTACTGAAAATCGGTTCAGATTTAGATATAGCTCCCGTATATATTTTCATCCGATTTAATGTAAATGGGGCACCAAAGTCCTTATATATATTTCGATTTGCACGAAATTTGGCAAAGCGTAATTAATTAGGTCTAGAATGATGTGTGTTAAGTTTCCTGAAAATCGGTTCAGATTTAGATATAGCTCCCATATATATTTTCGTCCGATTTAATGTAAATGGTGCACCAAAGTCCCTATATATCTTTCGATTTGTACGAAATTTGGCACAGCGTAATAAATTAGGTATAGAATGATGTGTGTTAAGTTTCCTGAAAATTGGTTCAGATTTAGTTATAGCTCCCATATATATTTTCGTCCGATTTAATGTAAATGGTGCACCAAAGTCCCTTAAAATCTGTCTATTAGCTCGACATTTGGCACAGCGTAGTGAATTAGGCCCAGAATGAAGTATGTAAAGTTTCCTGAAAATCGGTTCAGATTTAGATATAGCTCCCATATATATTTTCATCCGATTTAATGTAAATGGTGCACCAAAGTCCCTATATATCTTTCGATTTGTACGAAATTTGGCTCAGCGTAATGAATTGCAGAATGATCCAATTGCATTTTACTGGTCCTTTAAAAATGCGACGTCTGGTAGGATTCATCTGTTGCATAAATATCCAAAGTGGTGAAGGGTATCATATAGTCGGATCCGTCCGACTTTACTACTTTCCGTGCTGGGTTTTCCTTGTAATTGAAATGAAATTTTATTTTCTTGAACATAAAAAATATTAATCACATTCTAATATTGAAATCGAGCAATGACTACAAACTAATTAATCATCGATTTTACTTAAATTTCATTCTCTCTATCTCTTTCTCTCTAATTTACTCTCTCTCTCTCTCTCTCTCTTTTCTTGATAATTTCTTTCACTCCATAGAATCTATCAATCGCTGCCGCTGCCTATGAAACGGAATGGTTCACCTTTGATATACCTGTTCAGAAGTTAATTCTTCTGATGATAATGAGAGCACAGAAACCATGCACGGTAAGTGTTAGCTGCAATGAGTTCTCAAGTTGGTAAGTGACAGTTAACATTGCTGAGCTGACACAAATGTCAATTCAATTAAAACTGAATCGAATTGGTCGCTCTTCTTGGTCACGATCAAATTGAAATGTAATTTCTGTTAATAGCCAATATCAAATGCTTTGCACTCAAATTGAAAGTTAACAGAAGAAGAAGATGGAAATGAAGTGTGCTAGATGTCGTGTCAGTTCGATTAATGGGAACTCATTAAACTCTTGGAAAATTCCACCAATGCGATTTAATGAAATCGATAGAAGTGAATTAGTGCTGACAGAAGCGGCCGTAAGAGCAGGAGAAGTAACAAGGAACATTTACCCAGTAACGATTTTCCAGTAATATCAGCTGATTTTTAATCAGCCGTTTTCTGGTCATATGTGACAATAAATTTTATATTCCGAGAAAAAAATAAATAAAAATTTAATTTTTTTGCCAAAGTAATCTATATATATAAAAGAGCTTAGAGTTAAGTGAGTGAGGGAGTGAGTGAGTGACTGACTGACAGATCATCGCCCAGAAGAAACGGCTGAAGCTAGAAGCTTGAAATTTTGTGTGTGGGTTGTTGTTGGTGTATATGCGTGAGATAAGGCTGGGTTTTTGGAAATTCGAACCAGAAGGGTACGAAAAGTACTAAAATGTACCAAATATGGTACCCTTTGTATTAGGCGAACGGGAAGAGCTAGAATTCTGAAAATTGGAATGTGGGTCACTGATGGAAAGTTAGAAAGCTGTACAAAAGGGTTTTTGGAAATTCGACTTATAAGTGTACTAAACGTACTAAATTTAGTTCTTATTCTACATATATTGAACATATATAGCTAAAATCTTGAAATTTTATAGAGAATACAGGTTGGGAAGTGGTGTTGATGTATGGAAATGGTTTAAGATTTTCGTACTTATGTTTTTTTAAAAAGTACTAAATGGTACTAAATTTGGTAGTATTTGCATTTAGTTGAGTGTATATAGATGGAATCCTGAAAATCGGAATTAGGACTACTGTTGGAATGCAGGATTGAGGTAGCTTTAAAAAATCGTACTTTTGTGTACGAAAAGTACTTAATGGTACTAAATTTGGTGCAAGCTGGATTTCAGTTCACAGATAGAGGTGGTGTCTTGAAATTGGAAATTAAAATGACTGTTACAGTGTAGAATTGAGGTAGTTTTGGGAATTCGTACTTATTGGTACGAAAAGTACTAAATGGCACTAAATATAGTACAATTTGGATTTTGCTTAAACGGATGAGCTTAAACCCGGAAATTTGGAATTCTGATTACGGTTGAAGTTTGAGCTATACACACATCTTTGGAAATTCGTATTTGTGTGTACGAAAAGTACTAAACGGCACTAGATATGGTACAATTTCGATTTGGGTGAACAGAGAGAGAGCTGGAAACGTAAAATTTGGAATAATGGTTGCTTTTAGAATATAGAATTAAGGTATGGAATCATAGTACTTATGTGTACTAAATGGTACTATATTTGGTACAACTTGATTAAGTGTGAATGGATAGAGTTGGACTCCAGAATTTGTGGGATTGACGTAGTTTAGGAAATTCTTAATTATAGAAACAAAAAGTAGCGTTGAGATCCTGAAACTTTGAATTAATATTACTGTTGGAGTACAGGATTGAAATATGTCGGTAGTTTTGAAAATTTGTCATTACGTGTACTAAATGGTACTAAATTTGGTACAGTTTAGATCAGAGTGAATGGATAGAGATGGAAAATTTAAATTTGGAATGCAAATCACAGGATTAAGGTAGTATTGGAAGCACTAAATGGCACTAAATAGGGTACAATTCGTTTTGTGTGAGCGGGAATCCTAAAATTTTGAATCAAAATTAAGGGTGGAGTGTAGAATTGAGATATGGAGGTAGTTTTGTACTATGTACTAAATGGTACTAAGTTTAGTGCAATTTGGATTTAAATGAAATGATAGAGAAAGAAATAAAAAAAATATATTTGAAAATAAAATTACTGTTAGAGTATAGGATTGTGACAGTATTGAAAATTCAAACTTAAAGTATGAAAATTACTAAATGGTACTAAATATGCTACAATTTGGATTTATGTGAAAGGATAGGGTTGGAGTGTGGAATTGAGGAAGTTTGATAAAATCGTACTTACCTCTACGAAAAGTAATAAATGGTACTAAATTTGGTTGGAATATGGTTGAAAAGTACAGAGTGGTACCAAATCTGGTACAATTTGGTTTTTGATGAACAGACAGAGTTGGAATTCTTAAATTTTGACTTACGATTACTATTTGAAATCAGGATTGAGGTATATTTGGAAATTCGTACTTATGATTACGAAAAGCACTTAATTTGGATTTTGGTGAAATTAATTAAGTTTTAGAAATTCTTACTTATGAGTATGATGGTACTAAATTTGGAACAATTTGATTTGGTTGGAACCTAAGATTTGAAAAATATGAAGTGTAGTAGTGAAGACTCGAATTGGTCTTATGAATAGTAAATACAATAGCAAATGCACTAAATTTCGATTCGGAAACCTAAAGTTTGTAATGTGGGTCACTGACGGAGAGTTAGAAAGAAGTACCAAAAAGGTGTTTATACTAACTGGTACTAAATTTAGTGGTGGTGGTAGACTTGAAAATGTGTAATTATGTGTTCGAAAAGTACTAAATGGAAGTAATTGCGGAACCTCTACATATAGTAATAACATATTTATTTTTCTTTTCTTTCCATTGCAGATCAAAGTTGGCAACATTTATCCGATGACATTGGAATTGTTTCAGGCTTTGCTAAATGCCTCGTATTCGTATTTTACTCTACTGAAACGAGTTTATGGCTAAGCGATAAGCAGAAAATTAAAATATGAATTATTGTACTACAAGTATTGCACCAATTTATTAAAAAATAAATATGTTAGTAGTGTGGTTATAAAAAATACTCGTAATTATATGCACTTTTAGACTACTGTCATATTTTGGGATAGATGATGGACCTATATATCTTATATAAATCTATGGGTAGTATATATATATATATATATATATATATATTAAGGTCAGGTAGGTTTAGCGCACACAAAATTTTTTTGGGAGTTTTACTACAAGAAGTGGAATCCATCAATCCCATTTTCGGTCTACACCTGAGTTGGATAAACGCAGCCCACCCTCACTCCTCCATTTACGATTTTAAATTTTCATGATTTTCATAATTATACCCTACACAACTATGTTGTCAGGGTATTATAGCTTTGTGCAGCCAGAAGAGTTTATAACGCCGCGAAATATTGGTCCTAGACCCACCTTTAGGTATACCGATCGTCATATCTCGACTAGCTGAGTCGATCTAGATATGTGTGTCCGTCCGTCCGTCTGTCCATTATATTTTGTAAACACGATACAGGCCACAGTTATGGACCAATCTTCAAGAAATTTTGCATGTAGGGTTCTGGCCAATGAAGAGCCCTATTGTTTTTGGTAAAGATCGGTTAATATCTAGGGGATGAAATGGACCAAATACTTAATTTTTATCGGTTTTTCTGGTCGCTCTAGAGGCCGCAATTATGACCCAAACATCGCGAAATAAGAATAAGCATGTCTGTTTTGATAAGGATCGGTCAATATTTAGCGGGTCAAATGGACCCTGACTTTTGTGTGAAAAATTACAAAATTTGTATACTATAGCGTATAGATTTACCAATTATATGGTCGTATGTACTCAGATGTGGGAGTTGCACTTAAATATTTATAGGTGCTTATGTATTCAGATATTATTTAGTAACCCTTTACCACACTAGAGGGCGGAAATGTAGCGCTGATCGCTTTAAACTGTTCCATGAAGTTCCAGTTATGGCCAAGGTTAACGCCTGCAATTTTCGGTGACGATCAGATAATTATATTGTGATGAAGTGAACCGAAAACTTAATTTTTTGTGTTTTTTCGAGTCGATCTATAGGCTCTAATGGGAATAAGAAGGTCACAACACAAGGGAAGGGAATCTGGACAAGTAATGAGAAAGGCTGTACTGAACATTAGTAATAATTGTCGGTCTCTAGTTGGTCCAGATTGTTCAAATGTCGCGAAATATTGTCCAAGCTCAGAATATAGAGCCACAGAAAGTTAGTTTTTCGTGGAAGTTGTGTAGGGTATCACATGGTCGGCCCCGTCCGACTATACTGCTCCGCTCACTGGTTTTTTTGATACAAAAGGGAAGACAAATAATTAACATTTTTTTGTTATTGTTATTTTTTGTGATTAAAAAAGTCCTTTTTCATGGCGGACATAACTCCTCACTGGAACGGAATCCGAAAATTCCAACGGTGTTAGTACATGTCTAGCTATCGTATGAATTAGGATTATTGGCTTCGTTCAAAAATTAACGAAATGGCGGACGTTTGAAAAAAGTTTTTTTTGGCAAAAATCGTCTATTTTTTTTTCGATCAAAAATAGGCGTTAACAAGTAGAAAAGCGTTAAGTTCGGCCGGGCCGAATTTTGGATACCCTCCACCATAGATATATTGACAGATACTTAAAATGAAAATAGAGGGAACATAGCAAAAAGTGGACAGAAAATTTAGATTTTATCCAAACATTGCCCATCTTATTATTTCTTCCAAACTTAGTTCAAATTCGAAGATGGGGAATATTGGTCCACTCCTTTTGCAACGTCCACACAGGGGCTAGGTCTAAATGCCTAAGCCTTACGTTCTATTTTTTTTATCTCGCTATCCTCCGCAGGTGAAATGTTTACAACAGAGTCTAGAACCAAACTCAAAACGCGGAACAAAAAGGGGGCCAATATTAATATTTTTGGTAAGGAGATTTGTTACCATATACAACTACAAAATACCAAATTGCAGCAAATTTGGTTGAAAAACGCGCTCAAGAACCTCAAAATACGGGGGGTACCCTTATATGGGGGCTATACGAAAAAAATGTATCTATATTTATAATTTTTTGTGGAGAGATTTGGTACCTATTAAGAACTCAAAATATAAAATTACAGCTAATTCGGCGGAAAAATACGATCGAAACCCCCAAAATACTGAAAATTAGGAGGTACCGTTATATGTGGGCTACCAGAAAAAGTAGACCTATTTTTATAATTTTTTGTGGAGACATTAAGTACCCAATAAGAACCCAATGTTGCAAATTTCACCGAATTTGGTTGAAAAACACGCTCAAGAACCCCAAAATACCGAAAATTGGGGGGTACCCTTATATGGGAGCTATGCCTAAACGTGAACCGATAAAGCCATCTTCGAACTTGACCTGCCTGCAGCCAATCGACTACTCTATGCTAAATTTGGCGATCTATCTCAATTCGTTTAGACGCTAGAGTGATTACAACAGACAGACGGACATGGCTATATCGTCATAGAATTTTACGCTGATCAAGAATATATATACTTTATAGGGTCGGAAATGATTATTTCGATGAGTTACAAACGGAAAAACAAAATTAATAATTATAAAAAGCATACAGTTCGCGTATTCGTTTAAATCAGTTGATGCGCATACGGTATAAACCGTATCAATCTCTTTAAATAATTATGCATTTTTTGAGGTTTCATTAAGCGGCCAAAGTGTGCCGCTCGATGCACTTTACTATGCATAAACCCTAAAAATTACTGAAAATGGCTCAACGTGCATACGATTTTTATGCGCATCCGATTTCAATAATCTCCTATAAAAATACACAAAAGTACACCTATCTTAAAAGGATCGGTTAAGAACCGCGGATGTGCCTCCACAATCGATTTTAGATAAAATACGCATATTATTCGCGTATCGATATATTTTTGACCTATTTACACACAGATTCGCGAATATGATAACACAAGAATGAATGTATGTGAAATCAATTCGAAGAAAAACGCGATTATCGCCCATGTGACATGTTCCGAGAGTTTTTGAATTCCCATACTTTTTTATATTCCCATGTTGTGCAAAATGGTGTGCTCAATTTCGAGCGAAAGTGCGGCTCGAAAGCATAGCTTTGTTCAATATGTTACGAACTGTGTTCAATAAAAAACCTGTATGTCATTGGAATTTGCTATTTCTTTAACAACAAAATTAAAAAAAATACCTGCTGGCTTATTAATTGCCCTGGTTTTTACCAGAAAAAGAGTAATGGTACTGGAACGTGTTGAATGACGTCAACTTAGGAACGAATCGGACCCAACGGATATGCCCAAATCTGTGTATGTAGTTGTGATAATTACTCCAAGGACCTAAGCTACCAATAATGTTTATGGTTTCGTATGTCTTTTTAGGATAAATAAAGAAGCATTTATGCATATTTTGAGAGAAGTTGGTCCTTTCATACACAAGGGCTTAAGATTTCTGGTTATTGGTGGGTTTTAGGGGGTAGTGGCAAATGATTTAAATATAGGTGTTGATCCACAACAATGTGTAAAATATTTTGGAGAGTAATGAAAGTCCTGGAAGACAAAGTGTGTGCAGCGTAGATAAATATTAGTTTGAGTGATGATGAAATGAGGTTATCCAAATTGCATTTTTATGGACATTTCGGATTTCCAAATACGCGGAATATCTGAGCAACATGTATAACTATACATGTTGCTCAGATTTTCCGCGTATTTAATTTTACGAGAAAAACCAATGTAAATACTGTACTTTTAAATATTGTAAAAAACACGTTAAATATTACTTCTGCGTTCTTTTTTAATTTGTATGAGCTCAGAAAAACACGTACGATCTTATTTCTTTTTCAATTCACAAGGCTATATCAAATTATTATCAAAATAACTTTTTTCATTTCTTCCCACATTCAAGGTATCTATATCCGGCGTTTTATTGGGCATGGATAGGCTCATTAGAAAAAACTGAAATTACGCGGGGTTCCACGGAATTTGAATGGACTTTCTTAATTTTAGACTCAAAAAATAGGTTTTTTATAAAAATTTACGCACCAAATTTTCGTCTTTGGGACCCAATCGCAAAGAAGCTACGGTGAACACATTCATGAGATATACACTAAACGAAGCAAAATCACGAGTTCTACAATCCTATAATCAGTTTAGTCCGAAAAATTCAAAAAACAACGAAAATCCGGCTTCAAAATCCAAAATATGTTCATATTTCGCGAGTTATAACCTTGCAAACCTCAGTTTCAAGGAATTTAAACGATTTTTGTAATTTCCCATATATCTAAAGATACAAAAGGGAAGACAAATAATTAACAAAATGTTTTTGTTATTGTTATACCCTACACAACTATGTTGTCAGGGTATTATAGCTTTGTGCAGCCCCAAATGTTTGTAACGCCGCGAAATATTGGTCCTAGACCCACCTTTAAGTATACCGATCGTCATATCTCGACTAGCTGAGTCGATCTAGACATGTGTGTCCGTCCGTCCGTCCGTCCGTCTGTCCATTATAATTTGTAAACACGATACAGGCCACAGTTATGGACCAATCTTCACGAAATTTTGCATGTAGGATGGGTTCTGGCCAATGAAGACCCCTATTGTTTTTGGAAAAGATCGGTTAATATTTAGGGGATGAAATGGACCAAATACTAAATTTTTGTCGGTTTTTCTGGTCGCTCCAGAGGCCGCAATTATGGCCCAAACACCGCGAATTTTTGCATGGAGAAGGGGATCGGGTCAGAGAATAAGCATGCATGTTTTGATAAAGATCGGTCAATATTTAGCGGGTCAAATGGACCCTGACTTTTGTGTGAAAAATGACAAAATTTGTATTCTATGGCATATATATTTACTCCTGGAGGATGTAGACCCCAGGAGTTGATAGCACATCCAAGAGGAGTGGTTGGCCTTTAAATTGATACCAAATATAGTGATGTATCTACTCAGATGTGGGAGTTACAGTCAAA